TATATTTAACAACCTTGTATCTATTTATATTTATTCTGTGTGTTTTCATAAATATACATTCTATATGTCATGTATCATATTGTTGTGGTTTGGGGTGCTGGGAACCCGGAATTGCAAAGGTACAGGGTGCGTCTGCCTCAAAAGAATTCAACCAATCAAGCCTTCTTTCAGTCAAAGTAGTCAAGTTTTATTATAACACTGTTAGGCAGGCAAGATTTCTAGTAAATCTGCTATTGTGTCACCAATAGAAGTGGGTGAGATTCTAAGAATCTGCACAATTTAATGGGGGTAAGATTGGTATTTTTATATAGAAAAATATTGTGGGAAGATCTGGATGGGATTAAGGAGTGGCAATAGCTTGGGGTGGGCCAGGTGCAGTCAATGAAAGGAGTTAAGTGGTAGGGCCACAATGAAAGGACAGTCTGAGGATATGGGTTCAATTTTACCTCTACTACATGCTACTTTGTGACTTTGGACAAGTTATTTAACTCAGTTTCCTCATCTGTAAAATGAGTGAGTTTGACTAGATTATCCATTCTAGTTCCAAATCGATGATCTTATGTTTCAACAGGTATATCAGGGGTTAAAAATGCAATTTACATGACCACTGACCTGTGAGGTTCCCAGACCTTTCACAGCATTCAAATCAGATCCTGAGCAGAAAGTGTTTTTTGCCCCACAGACAATAAGGCCTTTCCCTTCTTTCCAGTTTTCTAGTTCAATCACCCTCTCCAGAAGCTGTAGCATCATAACTCCTGTTATTGAAAGGGAAAGAAAAATAGAAATAAAGATTCCAAGGTTAGCAAGTACATTCCAGGTCTTTATTGTCTATGTACATAGCACTGCACTGGATTGTGGGGGAGATACAAAAGATACAAAAGCCTTAATGGGATTTATATATCACATGAAACAGTTAGAAAACAATGCAAGGCAGCATATGATTAAGTGTTAAAATGAGCATTAATAGTGTTCATTCAGAAAAGGGAGAGATTATGTTTACGAGAGTGGTTAAAAAAAGAAACTAGGCTAAAGAGAAGATTCAATTAGACCAAAACTCCTTCCGTGGTCCTTAAAGGAATGTAAAGGGAATTGTAGAAAGAGGAAAAAATTAAAACTGAAGTTCCCACCAAGATCTTCTAATATTTATCTTTTGAATACGCTTATGCTAAAAGTCTTTGGTAACTTTCCAAGTTCACAGTGTTCTCAGTGTGATAAATTCTCATTTTTCCTTTACTCAAGAAACTGCCTTGGGAGCCAATAAAGGATTATAACAAAGTGATAAATTAAAAAAGGGATTTGGACTAACAAATGCCAAAGTTTACTCCAGCCACCGCTTAATCCATTAAACTATAAACTCTTTCGTTAGAATGTACGCCACCTCTCAAGGTCAGAATATGTTCTGATTATTTTCTCTTTTATTTTTCACACCACCACCAGCAAATGCTCCATTAAGGATGCTGACTCTGTCTGCCTGATTAGTCCACCTCACTTCAGAAACTGAAAGTTTGGAAGTTTTCTTTTATCTTGCAGTTCAAATTCAATCAGAACGGATATTCACTGAACTCTTCCTAAGAATGAACAGTTCTGTACTAGGTGCTTAGCATGATGAAATAGATAAAGCACTGGACATGGAGTCCAAAAGACTTCAGTTTAAATCTTTTCTCTGACATTTACTAGATTTATGACCATTAAGAAGTCAATTAACTTCTCTGAGTCTCAGTTTCTTTCCTCATCTGTAAAATGAGGAAGTTGGATTAGAGGGCTTCTAAGATCCCTTTATTAAGTTCCACTATCACCTATTTTTTTTTTTCCAAAGGACAAAGGAATTTAAAAAATTAAAGTCAGGGCTAACAGATGGATAGCCCAAGTGCTACAGTGGATTTGTCACTACCTTTGTGATCTTGAGCAATTCACTTAACCTCTCTGGGCCTCAATTTCCTCATCTGTAAAATGAGAGGGTTAAACTAGAAACAGCACTTCTTAAACTGTGGGGTGTGACCCCATATAGGGTCATAAAAAATTTGGCAACAGTAAAAGGTTTCTGAATGTGCAAAAAGTGCTTACCCATATTGTATCACACAATTTCACTGCAGCCTTGGTTCTGAACACAAAGCATGCACAATTTACACTGCACGTTCCCTGAGCCCACACAATGCCAACAAATGTTGCCCAACCATGAAAAGGGGTCCTGAGTGGAAAAAATTTAAGAAGTCCTGAACTAGATAGTCTCTAAGGTCCCTTCCACATCTAAGATCCATAGTCTCTGCTCTTAAAGGTTCTTATATTATGATAAATTAAATGAAATAGATAAACATTTGATTAAAATAAATATGATTAAATCAACCAACAAATGCAAAGAAGTAGGAAAATACGTAACTCAGAACAGGAAATAATATTAAAATCATTTCTTCTTGCCTTTGAAAAATATAATGTGGTTTCTTTGTTTCAGACTCACTTTACTAACTATGATTTTCTTCGTCTATTAGCATTACTTTTCATTCCCTGAACATACATCAATTTAAATTGTAGAAAGTAAGCTCTGAAATGTATTCTGTGATAGAAAGAAGTCAATGTAAGTTTTTAAAAAGTCATCATGGAAAAAAAATAGAAAATGTATAACCATTTATATAACATTGATCTCTGAATATAATGTATTTATCAGAACCAAAGCAAGAGAAGCTCAAAGAAGATGGTGTAAGATTGGATCACTCATAACTGATAAGCACTTATTTATTAAATTCTAAGACTGTAAAGGTAGAGCTTAAGAAAGGGACCTTGGAAAGCATTTAGTCTAACTTTCTCATTTTACATATGAAGAAACTGAGGCTCAGAGAGGATTTGCTTGAAGACACACAGGTGGTGACAGAGGCAGCACTTGAACCTTGGCCCATTGACTCTAAAACCAGTGGTGCTCTTTCCATATGACTGTGGTGCCTCATATTCTTCCATTAACCTTCAACTAGAAGGGGGGAATCACTAGTACCTGAAAATGCATTCTTTTTACTTGGGTTGTTAAGAGTGAGAATGCCAATGCCACAGTCTTCTTTACGAAGGTCAACGGATCCACCAGTAAACTGCTGAAGTTTCTTTTTGATATCTTCCTCATGGAAAACGTGAGAAGTGCTATACAGTGGAAAGCCAGTTTGCTGTAAGAGTTTTTTTCTTACAGAAAGAGATGAAGTCTTCAAAAAAGAAGCAGCCATTTCTGTGGGGGGAAAAAAAGAAACATAGTACAAAACCCAACTATACTATTACCCTTTATTTGAATGTTAAATATCACAATGTCCTGGTGATGAAATTTTGCCTGTTTTCAGGGACACATCCCCATAACTGCACACCCTCTTCTTGATAGCAGCAATGGCTTCTTGGCCTTCCCGAGAAAGAATTTCCTCTTCTCTTCTCCCTCCTATACTCATAATCTGAAAACTCAAAATGTGCATAATCTATTTGCCTATAAAAAGATGATTATATAGTACTTTAATTACAGTGCATCCATTATTAGGCTATAAGAAGCATGACAAATGAAAGGAATATACTGGTGTTGTATTTATCATCATATTTTACTCCTGACATCACAAGACCATTTTCCCCATTGGGTCAGAAATCCCTTTCAATCTGGAGACAAACTTCTGAGCTGAGAAGACTCTTGTTGATACAGAATTTTCAAGTCATAATTCTCTCTCTAATGACTTATCCTCATTCTCTGGGACACTTGCTATTGGTTGAAGGGATGAATGGATGGGAAAAGGCATGTGTATAGCTTTTACTGATGGAGGATGAATTTCAGGATAATCAAGTAAATTTTCAATGTACTTTTCCATAGTTTTAAAGAAATCTCTATTATATGAGTTCCCAGAAAGAATTAAGAACAGATGGAAAATATAAGATTACAAAGTAGGTCACAGCACAAACTTAATTTCTCCCAAGTAAAAGGGGTATGCTTGTTAAAGTGCTGCAGTGGAGCAGCTAATGGTATATATTTTATAAACACCTACACAAAGAGGAATAGGTATTTATGTACAGGGCAGCTAGGTGTTGCAATGAATACAGTGTTAGGCCTGGAGTCAGGAGGACCTGAGTTCATATGAGCCTCAGACCCTTACTAGCTGTATGACCTCGGGCAAGTCACTTAACCCTGTTTGCCTCAGTTTCCTCATCTATAAAATGAGGTGGAGAAGGAAAGGGCATACCACTCCAGTATCTCTGCCAAGAAAACCATAAATGGGGTCACAAAGAGTTTGACACAACTAAACAATACAAAGAGGTTATCATAATCAGTATATAAAGATATGTAGCCCCAAAGAGGTTGTACTTCCAGATTTGATGAACAAATTTAAGAAAAAACAAAACAAAAAAACCTGATTATCACCTGCAGAAATTATTTATGTGATGCTGGTAAAAGTAGTTTCTAAATCTTATCATAGAGCCTAGAATGGCTCAAAATCTCATCAAGAACACTAAAAAGGAAACAAGCTTTGATTTAAAAATAACATGATAGAAACAACAACAAGGTGATGGTCTGCTTGGAGTCTGGACTCGGTGCAGAGTTGAGCAATTAAAAAGGCCTCTAGATTTGTGATCCTCTGTTCTTTCTTACAAACACTCTAATACAAGAGTAACTTTTTTTATGTTATGGAGCCCTTGGCAGCCTGGTGAAGACTATAGACCCCTTCTCAGAATAATGTTTTGAAATGCATAAAATAAATACATAGGGTTACAAAGGAAATAATTGTTTTTTATATCAAGTTCAGGAACCTCCTAAAACTTAAGTACAGATCCCTTTAGGAGACCTGTGGAATCTCTGCTCTAGAAGGTTCTGGGGCAGGTATTGCTGCTGTGGTTAATGACACAGTGGATCCTGGGCAGAGATCGGGAGCTGTAGGATTCTGTGCTGATCAGACTACTTTTGGTGAGTTTATCCCTCCAAGTCAAAGGAGTATAATGGGGATATAAGAGCACCTGGAAGAGCATCTCTCCATATAAAGGTTAAGGAGTTGCCTGTCAGAGAATCACGACATGTAAAGAAAATGCCTTGGAGACTGGAGAATGTATAGATATTCTAGAACTCATTTTGGTCAGGAATCACATTGTGAAGTGCAGGTTCTTTGATTGTCCATAGAAACATTCAAAAATGAACCAGTCATTCCCTATTTTGCCTCATTTATTCTTGGGGGAGTCTCAGTGATTCTATCTCACAACTTCTGAGATTGTTAAGAGACACTCTCTCGAGGCCATGTGGTCCTTGGCCTCTCTGTTCCTTTTTGATTGAAAGGATTAAACTGATTCTGTATCATTTTTAATTGATCCTATTTACAGTTAATTCATTTTATCCTGTAACTGCTTCAGTCATGTTTCCTGGTCTCTGAACTTAGTTGGTCTGTAATGAGTTAAGTTTTGAAATCCAGTTCTCTTGCTAATCACTGTTCTATTCTCGCCTCAAGGAATTCGGCTATCTTTGGCAGAAGCCAGTGGACACCAGGGACTCCGATCTAGTATCTTTACACCACCAAACTATTCCTTCAAGGATATCTGGTTTGCTATCCAAAGAAGTCTAGTCCACTATCTTTTAATCTTTCGAGTGGACTGAAACAATGAATTTTTCTTAGTTACAGGAGGGAAAGGGAGGGGATGTTGCTAGCCCCTCATTTCCAACTTCCAACCAATCATACTGCTCCCCATGCCTCAGCTATGTAACCAATCATCCTTGTCCTTAATGCCATAGTGTCACCTTTCCTGTTCTGTTATTTGTTCTAATTTTATAAAAATGAATTAACTCTTCATCTTGGGGTCTTTGGCTTAAACTGAAGCAAATCCATTGACCCATTCTTATTGGCAGGTTTGCACCCTATTAATAAAATGTTATCTTGCTCAAAGAGAATGTGCCTCATTCTACTTTTGTCGAATTTTACTTGAGACATGATCCAGGTGAAAGAGGTAGATCCTCCACAGCCCAGTAAATTTCAAAAGGTCAGAGGCTACCTTAGTATTCTAGTGTTCCAGGATCCAAGAGCTTAGTTTTAGAGCCCGTGCTACATTGTTGCCCCAAGGAGAAAAGAGGAACTTTCAGGATGAACTTGGCACTCCAGCCCAGCAGTAACTGAGACAAGGCGTCAACTGACAGATCCCTGAATCACACATCACACATGTGGATGTGAAGTTGGTGTGACCAATACTATGGAGGAATTGAGGTAAGAAGTGCTAAAAGGTAGAGTATGCACCCAGGTTGAATAGTTAAAAGGAACTGGAGCCTAGTTACAGGCCCCCTTAACAATGGGACAAAGAGAGCTAGTGGGGCCTTAAGTCAAAGCAAATAAAATGCAAAATGCACCCTATTAACTCCTCAGGGTATGATAGGATCTTGGGACAAATGTAGCCACCTGAGTCTAAGAGTGAGCCAGAGTGTATACACTGTAAGAGAAAATACATGTTCTAACTTTATTTTTTCCCATATACAGTTCTCCTTTCCCCATTGTGGGGACTAAAGGCACGGTGTCCCCTGCGATCTGGAAAATCAGAGTAAAATTTTTTTGATCCTTCTTTGTACCAGAGAAGTCTGAACTTTTTTTCTTTTTCTTTTATGGAATGTTTATAGTAACTTATTCTAAAATTTGGGTTATTATATAATACTATACATATATTTTATGCATTTCTGAGTTTCTAAACTTTTTCAGTGTTATCTGAGAGCCTCCTTGGGTCGTCTGCGGCTTCCAAAATTCCCGTTAATTTCTTATGCCGACCCGCCATATATCGAAACTGTGATGGGGAAAATTGCAATATGGAAGGGATAACTGTATTATATTATTATTATATTTCCTTATAACTCATTATCTTCCTCCCTAAACCTCTCTACCCTCCCCTCAACTTCTCCTGAGTATACCTTTTTTTCTTCTCTGACATTATCACTGCTCTGTTGCTGGACCTCATCATCTCATGTTTTGACCACGGCAATAAACTGATAGTGAATCTGCCTGCCTCAAGTCTCTACCTACTTCATTCCATCCTCCATTCAGCACCCAAAGTGATTTTACTAAAGTGCGGGTATAACTGTCACTTCCTTACCTAATAACCTTGAATGGTTCCCTCAAATACAAAATCCTGTTTGGCATTCAAAGCCTTTCATAATCTACCCTCCCACCCACACCCACCTGTCCAGTCTTCTTACATTTCTCTCTTCAGTCTAGTGACACTGGCCTCTTTGCTGTTCTGAGAACAAGAGACTCCATCTCTACACTCCAGGTATTTTCTCTGGCTGTCTCCCATGTCATCTTCATCTCTATCTACTGGTTTCCCCAGCTTCCTTCAAGTCCTAACTAAAACCCTTCTTCTACAGGAAGCCTTTCTCAACTTCTCTTAATTCTAGTGGCCTCCCTGTTTTAAATATTTCCAAATTATCCAGTATATAGCATGTTTGTACATATTAGTCTTCCTACTGTCTCCTCCATTAGACTGTGAGCTCCTGGAGGGTAGAATCTGTTTTTTGCCTTTTTGTATCCCCAGTGCTTAGAACAGTGCCTAGCACATAGTAGGTGCTTAATAAATGTTTAATGACTGATTTCTACACTTGGCAGTGCCCTGCTCTGACTGCAAATGTCTACAAACTGCCCCCTTCCCTATTTATTCCTATTGTTATCTAAAGATAATAATGGACCTTAACTGTCCTGTGGCTAATGTTGCTAGTACTAATGCCAATTTGTAGGGAAGGGCCGTCTAAGAAGAGCAGAAGACATATGTAGGGAGATGAGGATTGGGGAAGAGGTGAGAAGTCAGTAATGATTTCTCCCTTGGGAAATCACAAACATGTGGTGTAACCTTGGGTGTTACTCAGCCAACTTGAAATTTATTTATAGGATGTAGTCTAAGCAGAGAGATTAATATCCTGAAGTAAATAAAATCTCTTAGATATAGTGAAGACAAACTCCTTGGATTCAAGCCAGCCCAGGCCAAGGGAGAGAAGAACACTTTCCTGTCTTCCATATGCACCATGTGGTTCCCTTTAAGGAATCCTTTACCAATATAATCATTGTTGCTTCTAGATCTACTTCCCTCTCTCTCTAGCAGCTTACCAGTCTATGAGGATTTTATAGGGTAAGGGATTCTACTCAGTCCCACTTCACTCTCCACCTCCCCACCAATGTATGTATATTATACTAAGAAATGGAATTATTATTCAATAAAAACTGCTGGGAAAATTAGATAGCTGTATGGCAAAAAATTGGTTTGAATCAATACTCCATATAATATACCAAAATAAATTCTACCTGGACGAGTGATCTAAACATATTTGTTAATCATTAAAATTCACTTTTAAAAGCTTAAAGAAAAAGGAATATTTGTCTCAGCTACATTTTTATTAAACAAATTTTATTAAACAAATATAAGTCATTACTAGAAAACAAAATTGATTTGTTTGGTTATACAAAGGTAAAGGATTTTGAAAAACAAAAAGCAATATCTCTAAAGATTAAAAGACAAAGAATAGACTAGGGAAAAAACTGCAATATGTAGCCGATAAAGGTCTGACATCCAGAATCTATAAAGAACTGACACACTTCTATAAGACTAATAATATTGTCAAAGGACATAAACAGATGTTGAAGGACTAAATACAAACTTTTAAAAAGCACAAGAAAAGATGTTTACATTTTCTAATAACCACAGAACTGCAAATCAAAACATCTTTCAGATATCAGCTTACATCCACTAGTGTGGCAAAAATTACAAATAATTGTTAAGTGGAGGTAGGACTGTGAGGAAACAGACATTCCCACAGGCCACAACTTGCCTAAGCCACCTTCCTTTTTCTTTGATATGATTCCAGACACTCGAGAGCCACTTCATAACCAGACTTGCCCTAAATAAGGCCTGGGACACCAAAGCCTTCAGGTTGGGAATACACCACATCCTGTTCATGCCTGCCACCAGGTGGGTTTCCTGACAACTCCTAGAACACACCTTCGGATAGATCAGGCAGCTGAGGGCTGTGTAGAAACTTTTTAATTACTTGATTTCACCAGTAGATCTCACGGACACTTTGCCAGAACTCATTACTCAATAATCTGCATACTTCCATCCCTCTCAACCCAGTGATATTGCACCTCTGACATCCTATGAATACCACTCCTCAATCCCGGCTGTCTGTTCCCTCTTTCCCATCCACCTCTAATCCCCACCCCATCCTCCTTCCCAAATGTTCCACTCTAGATCTGTGCACCCATTACATGATGCCATCTGGAACATCTATTCTATAATTAACTACTTTTCATCTTAAATCATTTTTTCACTTTCTCCTTCCATCTTCTGGGATACATTGCGATGTGGCTCCCTCCTGATAATACTCCATCCCTGGCTACCCTTTCCAGTTCTATAAGCTTCACTTTCGCTCATAGCCCTGACTCACTGGCCACTGTGGGGAAGTCAGAATCTCCTCACTCCCCATTGCCACTCCCAGACTCTTCCTCTGAGGCAATCACTCTTCAACCCATCCTTCTTTGAGGTTCACAAACTCCAGAGTTATCACCCAACCAAGTTTCTGTTGTTCCATCATTTTCCAGTTGTGTCTGACTCTTTGTGACCCCATTTGGGCTTTTTTTTTGGCAGAGATAATGGAGTAGCTTGCCATTTCCTTCTCCAGTTTATTTTACAGATGAAGAACTAAGGTCAACAGGGTTAAATGGCTTGCCCATGGTCACACAGCTAATAAGTGTTTGAGGCCAGATTTGAATTTAGGAAGATGAGTCTTCCTGACTCCAGGACTGACCCTCTATCTGCTACACCACCTAGCTTCCCAAATCAAAATTCAGGTGGCTGTTGTCTATTAACCTCCAGGACATTCTCTTTCTTTTCTTCTTAAAAAAGTTCAGTGCCAGGATCACAGTCTTTCTCTATCCCAACTCATCTTTGCATTCTAGATTTCAACACACATCCTGATGTTCCCTCACATACCCTAATTGCCAGTTCCTTAATTTTATTCAACTTTTATGACTAACTCCTCCACTCCATTCCTGCTACATAATCCCCTGATTACCCAAAACTGTTCTACTTCTACATTCAGAAACTACGAATGGCCTTTTATCTGATAAAGCAGCCAGGTGGTGCAGTGGATAGAATGCAGGGCTCAGAGTCAGAAGACCTGAGTTCAAATCTGACTTCAAACCTTTACTAGCTATGTGACTCTGGGCAAGTCATTTAACCTCCATTTACCTCAGTTTTCTCAACCAAAAAATGGGAATAATCACAGTACTTTTCTCCTGGAGTTGTTGTGAAGATCAAATGAGATAAGTGCAAATACTTAGTACAGTGCCTGGCACATAGTAAGCACTATATGAATGTTAGCTATTATGATGATGAAAACGATCATATATTTTATCTTCTCCCTAGACCTTACCCTCTGAATTATAGTTTCTGAATCATCATCAAACTGAAACCATTCTCTCCAAAGTCACCAATTACCTCTTAATAACCAAATATAACGGTCTTTTCTCAATCCTCAGATTCCTTGACCTCTTTGTGGGATTTGACACTCCTGGATACTCTTTCTCTTGTTTTTGTGACTGCTCTTAGTTCTCCTCCTACATGTTTGAAAACGTGCCAGTCTCCTTTGCTGTATCTTCATCCATGTGATGCCCACTAACTATAGGTGACCTTCAGTGCTGTCCTAGGCCCTCTCTTTCCCTTCCATATTTTTTAACTTGGTTATTTCATTAGCTCCCATGGGTTTAACTATCATCTCTATGTAGATAATTCCCAGATCTAATTATCCAACCCTAGTCTCTCTCCTGATCACCTTGACATTTTGGATGTCCTGTAGGATTCTCAAACCCAATATGTAAAAACAACAACAAACCCCACCTTATTATCTTTCCTCCAAATCCTTCCCTTTCCTGAACTTTTTTATTATTTTCAATGGCATAGACTTCCAGTCAGGTTTGCCAGTTTGGTGTCATCCTCAACTTTCTCTCCCTTATCTGATAGATCTAATAAATTGCCAAATCTCATTTTTTTTCCTTTACAATATCCCCCACTTATGTCCTCTTCTGTTTACTCACACAACCACTACCCTGCCTAGTTCAGACCCTCATCACCTCTCACCTATACCAATGGAATAGCCTTCATTAGGCACTTCCTCTCAGTCCAATTGCCTCAAAACAGCTTCCAAAGTGATTTTCCTAAAGTGTAGGTCTAGTCAGGATACCCTGCCCCCCACTCAGTAAACTCCAATGGCTCCCTATTACCTCTAGGATAAAATATAAGTTCTTCTGTTTGGCATTTAAAGCTCTTCATAGACTAGCCCCCTGGTTATCTTTCTAGACTTTTAATGTATTACTCCTCTTCACACATAAAGAATATTTATTTAGTACCTACTATATTTCTAAAAAAGATAGTCCCTACCTTCAAGGAGCTTACATTCTAATGGGGAAAGACAACACATAAAAGGGATCTGGAAAGCATTAAGGTGGAAAAGTCCAGAGAGTTAGTAGTGAAGCTGAAAGAGAAGTAAGTATGGATGGCCTGGGAACTTCCCAAAATTGCAGCACTGGACAGGAACTCAAGAAAGGCGAAGAGGTAGGATGTGGAGTGGTGGGGAAAGGGGGAAGGGGCATCTCTGGGGTGAGAAGGCTGTGGGCTCAGAAAAGCATAGGTATTTGGCAAGATTGAAAAAGATGTTGAGATGCAGCTAGGTGGCGCAGTGGATAGAGATCTGGCCTTGGAGTCAGGAGGACCTGAGTTCAAATGTGACCTCAGACACTTGACACTTACTAGCTGTGTAACTCTGGGCAAGTCACTTAACTCTGTTGGCCTCAGTGTCTTCATCTGTAAAATGGGCTGGTGAAGGAAATGGCAAACCACTCCAGTATCTTTTCCAAGAAAACCCCAAATGGGGTCATGAAGAGTTGGACACAACTGAAATAACTAAGCAAAATAAAATAACAAACCCTTTGAAGTTTGCAAAGTGCTTTTTCAACACACATGATCTCACTTAACCTTCCAAACAATGAGACAGGTACTAAGTATTTTCATTCCCATTTAACAGATGAGGAAATGGAGTCTCAGGTTTTTGTGACTTGTCCTTTGTGAGAAATCTAGTATCTGAGATAAGATTTGAATACACGTCTTTCTGACTTCAAGTCCAGCACTCTATCCGCTCTGTAGCTTTGAAGTAGCTTTGAAGCGGTAAGACGTTCACACGTTAAAAAAAACAAAAACAAAAACTAAAAAACAACAACACACACACAAAGCAACATGACTACATGACAAAGGAAGTGATACAACACATTTATCACTTAATTATGATTACTGTTTTCAATTCAATTCAATAAAAATTTGAAATACAGTCCAGTTCTTTCAGGTATCTCATTTATCAAAAGGTTATGGCATAACCATTATACTACTGTCCATACATCATAATATACAAAATTAAGCCAACCAGCCAAAAAAAAGTTTGGAAAATAAACTAAAACATTTATCCGATTGAGGAGCTGCCTTTCATCAGATTCTACTGAATCCTCCGTGTAACACTTAAAAGCTATGCGATCCAGGACAAGTGACTTAACCTCTCTAGGCTTCAATTTCCTTATCCATAAAACGACAAGACTGTACTAAATGCTCTTCCAGCTCTCAATCCAGGACCCTGCTTTTCATTCTGGGTTACCTTGGGAAGTAGCGGGGTTCCCCTCGTTTTGGTGGTCAGGCTGCACGCCCCCCTGCTGGGAAGGCAGCAGAGGGGATTGTTTCTCACTTAAGGCCGCGGACGCCCCGACGTCTGCAGCCGGAGAGGGCGGGCGAGTCAGTCGGGGGACACTCTCAGAAGGAGGGACGAGCGCACGTTCTGCCATCTCGGGACCGGTCCCTTGGCCGCAGCCGCTGCCTCCTCGGCAGTCCCAGCAGTCACCAGAGCCTCGGGGACCCAACACTCAACTCCAGCAGCAAAGGGCTCTTCTACCTGCCCCCAGCTAGTCCGCCCGCCCACCCTCGGGGCCCCGCGGGGAGCCTGCGGGCTCCTCCAACCAGCAGCCGCTGCCCTGCCGCCCCTCCCTCCCCGCCCCCAGCCCCCACTTCGGAGGCCGTCGGGGCTTACCCGCCGCCTTGGACCCGCCCTCCCAGCGCCTTGCCTCCGCGAAGCGAAACTTCCGCCGATCTCCCGGGACAGGAAGTCCCGCCTTTCTGGTGGCCTTAGAAGTCAGTGGCCTTGGGAAAGGCTTCCTGGAGATGGTAAAAGAAGCTGGAGAAGCAGGCGACTGAGATGAGGAGGAAGAGTATTCTAGACCAGGGAGACAGTCAGAGAAAATACCTGGGTGCAGGACATAGGATGTCGTGTTTCTGGGACAGCAAAGGGGCCAGGGGGTCACTGGATCAAAGAAAACCTGTTGGGGAGTAAGGTGCAAGAAGGCTGCTAAGGTTGGAAGGGCATAGGCTATGAATGGCTTTAAATGGCCCAGCAGAGGATTTTGAATTTGATACTGGATGCCATGAGGAGCAACTGGAGTTTATTGAGGAGAGGGAGGGAGGGGGTGAAATGGTCAAAGCTATGTTTTTGGAAAATCACTTTAGAGGCTGAGTGGAGTAGAGTGAGGAGACACTTGCAACCGGCTATTGTAATAGTCCAGTCATGAAGTGATGAGGTCAAGAGTGTGGTAATATTAGAGAAGAGGAAGGGGGCATATTCAAGAGGTGTCACAAAGGTGAACAGGACAGGTCTTGGCAACAGATTGAATCTGAGGGGTGAAAAATAGTGAGGAGTCAAAGATCACACTTAAGTTTTGAGCTTGGAGGATTAGGAGGATGGTGTTACCCTCTACAATGATAGGAGTGTGAGAAGGATTAGGGGGGAAAATAATGAGGTCAGTTTTGGGCCTGTTAGGTTTAAGATGTCCACTAGACATCCAGTTTGAGATGTCTTGAAAGGCAGTTGGAGAGGTAAGATTAGAGGTTAGCAGAGAGGTTGGGACTGGATAGTGAATCATCAACATAGAAATAGCAATTAAATCCATGGGAGCTAGTGAGATCATCAAGTTAAGTAGTACAAAGGGAGAACCGAGGGCCCATTGGCCCGAACCCTCCCCAGTGTGGACACCTATACTTAAGTGGGTATGACCTGGAATGCAGATCCATCAAAAGAGAATGAGTAGGAGTGGTCATGTAGGTCAAAGGAGAGAGTGGTGACCCACAAACCTAGAGGGAAAAGAGAGTATCAAGGAGGAGAAAGTGATCAAAGTTTCTTTGCAATTTGAATTGGATTTGAAAGTTTCAAAGATTGCAGAGAGGTTAAGAAGAATGAGGATTGAGAAAAGGCCATTGGACTTGGCAACTGTGGGTCATTGGCTGTGTGGCTTAAATTTCCTCTTCTATAAAAGGTCAAAGTTAAAAGATCTCTAAAGTCTCTTCCAACTGTAAAGTGTTGCAGTTCTTTTCTAAGGGAATAGGGGAGGGGCAAAGGATAGAAAGGTACCCATTGAAGTGTCTTGGCACTTAGGAATTCTTTCTTTTAAACATTCCATCAAAAAACATTTTAAAAACTAACTTATAAAGCAAAAATGAAATAGTTCTTGACTTCAAGGACCTTTACCTTCAGTGGTCTGGACAACATAGACAAAGTATATAAAAAACAAATACAGAATAATGAGAGTACAATGGAGGTGAGAATAGGTATGGAATTGAGAGTGAAGGGTGCTGGGGAGTTCAGGAAAGGCCTCCTGTAGTTGGAGATTCTAAAAGAGATAAAAATGGAGTAGGCTCATGGTGTGGGGGATGGGTAGATACTAGAAAAGAGTGTCATATATGAGAAAAAGGAAGGAAGCCAGTTTAACTAAATCATAAAATGTGTGGAGAGTAATGTGAGATAAACCTGGAAAGGTAGGTTAGAACCATATTGTAACGGTCTTTAAATCCTAGAGGGGTTTGTATTCAGAGGTAACAGAGAACCATAGGATTTTTTTTGAGTAGCGGAATGATGTGATCAGAAATGTGATTTAGGAATATGATTTTGACAGTTGAGTAGAGGATAGATTGGAGAAGAGCTCAAGAAGGTAGGAGACCAATTAGGAGGATATTGCAATAGTCCAAGTGAGAAGTGATCAAGGGAAAAAGATAATGAATGCTTTTTTTGCACATGCTGAGTTTGAGATACCTCTGGGATAACCAGTTTAACATGTCCAATAGGCAATTAGATATTTATTCTTTCTTCATATCAGATCTGAAGATTTCTTTGGACAAAAAATATTTATTGATATCCCTGGCAAGTGGCATAATTTTTGTTTACTTTCATTATCCTTGACAGATTCAATATTAATTTTGATGATGCTTCTAAAATCCTGGCATGTCAATTCCTTAATTCCTATGAGCTCCAGACTACTTCATCTATTGAAGGAGGGGTGGGAAGACTCTTTTTCACCCATTTTTCATTCACCATTTCAACCCAGGTAATTCTACAGGTATCCACAGGCATCTCTAAAGACCTACTATGTGCCAGGCACTGTGATACAAAGAAAGGCAAAAAACAGCACCTACTCTCAAGGAGCTCTCATCCTAATAGGGTAACAACATGTAAACAACACTGTACAAACAACATATATTCAGGATAAATTTAAGATAGGTAGAGGTAGAATGGATAAGACTTAGCAATTGATTAGTTGTAAGGGGACAGTGAGGATCTGAGCATGACTGAGATTTTGTGAACCTGAGTTTCCAGATGGTAGTACTTTTAACAAAATATAGAGAAGTCTGAAGAGAGGTTGGGTTATAGGGAAAAGATGCATTCTGTTTTGGACATGCTGAGTTTGAGATGTCTGTGGGGCATCCAGTTTAAAATGTCCAATCGATAATTAATGATGTGAGGCTGCAATCTGGAAGAAAGACTGAGGTTGGAGATATATATGCATATATATTTATTTTACTTGTATGTTCATACATATATACATGTATATAGACACAATTAAGAACTGTTCCATTTCTTTTAGCATTCATCACATTAGAAGTTGTTGCTTATTTTTTTTTATAGGCAGGCAGCCATCTTTCTTTTTGCCATACTCTTAATTTGGGGGCTCTCCCCTAGTAGAACCACCTTTTCTGGAAAAAAAAAGACAAAGTAATTGGTAAAGTACACAAAACTCATAATTCAAATATAAATCTTTGTGGATCACTTTAACTTTGCATTCAAAACTGACAATTTTGTCATGGTAAGTTCACAGTTTAGGTTAGTGAATATCTTTGGCTCCTCACCCAGTAAGGTAGTATTTGCTCAAGCAGTGCTGGCTGAACATGTGTAGCAGGCGCCTTGTCCATGTACATGGCCTACTGCCAATATCTTCAGCTAGGAAAAAACTAAAACTGTTTGGAAGCTAAAGTCCATCTGGGGTTAGAGCAGGCCTAAACGGCATGAGCGATAAAATTTAGGAGTAACCTGTAATGCATGTCTTAGATAGCCCTAGATTTGTCTGCCAGCTGGTCTGAACCAAGCAATGCCTCTAGCATGGTAGGTACTATTTAATCTGGTAGCACCCTCCCACCTCCCCATATTGGACTATACATGATTACAGTGGAAAGAGCAAAAGTTGTGAAATTGGTGGACCAAGGTTCAAATGATTACTTCTATGATCTTGGGCTGGTGGCCCAATTTCTCTGATCCTCAGTTTCTTCATCTGTGGCTAAAGGGAATTGCCTCTAAGATCCCTTCCAGCTCTAAATCAGTGATCTATGAGAGGAAGGGCTCCTTGATTTCTCTTCATATTAACAAGAATTTGGTGATAGTGGTATGATGAATTCCTAGAGTGGTATAAAGAGTGTATAAAGATTCTCTTTGTGCCTATTCACCTAGTATATTTGGCACAGTTCCAGTCTGTAACTCACAATTTGACATGGGGGTGGAGCTAAGATGGTGGAGAAAAGGCAAAGACTCATCTGAGATCTCCCCAAAACCTCTCCAAAGACTCTTAAATAATGCCCTAAAACCAATTCTGGAGCAGCAGAACCCACAGAAGGATAGGGTGAAACAATTTTCCAGCCTAACACAACTTAGAAGATTAGCAGGAAAGGTATATTGCATCAGGTGAGAGTGGAGCACATTACAGTGCAGGCTATAACAGCTCAGACCTGGCCCCAGCAAACCAGGAGCAGGCCTTGAGAGTGACTGAATCAGCAGCAGCAGCAGTGGCTGCTTCCAGAGATCTCAGGCCACAGAAGGTAAGGGGGTTGAACCAGCTGGTCAGAAGGAGATTGCAGGGGTCTGTTTGCTGGCACAGGGGCAGGACTCTATTGCTTTTCCCATATTTGGATCCTGGTCACAGTCCTGGGTGGCAGTCCCAGGGCAAGGAGGAGCAGTAGCACACCAGAGCTTGTGGCCACAGGAGACTGGGGACCTTTGTCACAGTTTCAGGGCACAAAAGAGTGCTTGTGGTCACTCACAGACCAGAGCATAGGCCAGGAGAGTAGTAAACACACCTTAGATCATACCACCTTGGAAGAATTGAAAACTTACAGATCCCTAGAAGTATCTCTGAAAACAGCTGCACAAAACCCCTGAAGCTTGGGACACTGCACCCTCCACCCTGGAAGCAGAGACCCACTTTAGCAAAAAGTTAAAAGTCAAGAAATAGGCTGGAAAAATGAGCAAACAAAAAAATTATGACTATAGAAAGTTACTATAGTAGCAAGAAAGATCAAAACACACACTCAGAAGAAGACAGCAAAGTCAAAAATCCTACATCCAAAACCTCAAAGAAAAATATGAATTGGTCTCAGGCTATGGAAGAACTCAAAAAGGTTTTTAAAAATCAAGTAAGAGAGGTAGAGGAAAAATCGGGAAGAGAAATGAGAATGATGTAAGAAAATCATGAAAAAAAGAGTCAATAGCTTGGCAAAGGAGGCACAAAAATATACTAAAAAAAATAAAATCTTAAAAAACAGAACAGGCCAAATGGTTAAAAAAAAAGGTACAAAAATCCAATGAGGATAAGATTACCTTGAAAAGCAGA